ATTTAAATGTGATAACATTATTTACTGTATTACTAATAAACAATGAAAACATATTGTATTTGATGGACAGGTATGGCGTGAGACCCGGAAAATAGGTTGCGGTCAAGCGGTCAGTAAAGGCAAAGTCGGCGGCACTTTCACAGTGTATGCGTCCATACGATTGGACTCTTATTTAGAAATTATATTTTCATATAATTATTAAATGTATACTAATTATAGTTTTTTATTTCGTTTGCATTTTAGCTGTAATTACGATCCGCCGGGAAATTACATAAATGAGGAGTTGGCTAATGTTAAGCCGGCGCTCAACAAGAAATATAAGCCCAAACATAAACAGCCGGGTCATCCACGCAATCATAAACCATATAAACCCAAACCAGCCAATCGTCGACCAAAAAAGCTTACAAATCAACAGTGATTTGAAAAATTAAAACATTTTTTCGTTGTTTTAGATTTTATTTGAGAAATAGATTTGATTATTCAAAATGTTTGTACTTTTTTAAATACAAAATTATTTTATATAGTTTGTTATATAATAAAAACATGCTATTAATGTTTTCTAAAGACAACTCTATAAATAATACACAATACCTGAACTGCCACTGAAAATAATGTCAATATACATGTACTTTATTTATAAATCTTTAATATATAGGAAAATTTAATAAACAATTATATTTCCCTTAAATTGTATATTTATTACAAATATTGATACAACTTCTAAATATTGATTAGCATTTCATAAAATATTTATTTAATATACTGTTATAAAACTATATATTGCTTATAAATGAGTAAAATGATAATATTCTGTAATTATATAAATATGTTTGACTATTATTGAGATAATTGTTTTCAAATATAATAAAGGTATAATATCATATGAAAGCCGATTTATCAATTAAGGGACAATCGTTTAGCATTGAAAACTTAGTAATATAAATCAAAAGCTTACTCATAGACTTTGTATGAGTAAGCTGTTAATTTAAAGCTTTTGGTCTACATTACTCAGTTTTCAATGCTAAACGATTGTCCCTTAATTGATAAATCGTATGTCATATATAGGATTTCATATTAACTATAGCTTTGGACTCCAAATGGCGATCAAATAATTATATCGTAAAATAATGTGCTTTTATAATAATTTTCTATTTTGTATGAATGATAGGTTTTTGTTATTATTTAAAATTTTATTTTTAAAAACTTATTCTTAAACTTACTACACGACCACTCAATCCAATGACACCAAAGAAGTAGTGATGGCTTCGGCCAATCAATCCATAACGGGTTCACCGATCAGACAACAAGTGATGTGTTCTCAAGACTATAACGAAGACAGAGTTCGGTTCCCTTCGT